CCTAAGGATGAAGTCCTAAGTGAACCTCATTCACCTCCACCACAACAATAAGAACAATAATTATCATCACCAGAGTCTACTCCAAGACGAGTAAGATCTTTGGTTGAGATATATGAAACATGCAACTTGGCCATACTTGAACCTGGAAGCTTTGAATAAGCGTTAAAGCAAAAAGTATGGTTCAAGGCAATGGAAGAAGAGATAAATATGATCGAGAAAAATAACACATATGAGTTAGTAAAATCGTCCCCGTGGAAAAGATATCGTATCCATCAACTAGATGTCAAATATGCTTTCCTCAATGGTATAATTTAAGAAGATATCTATGTGGAGCACTCGCGAGGATTTATGCTTGAGGGAGAAGAACGCAAAGTGTTAAGACTAATAAAAGCCCTCTATGGTCTGAAGCAAGCACCTCGAGCATGGTATTATAAAAATAATCAGTATTTGATGGATCGATGATTCAGGAGAAGCATGAGTGAGCCTACATTATACATCAAGTTTCAAGGCCAGTACACTATCTTACTCTCTATATGTCGATGATATCATCTTAACAGTGTCACATGTTGCGAAATGTAACGGTAAAAATTTGAGACTAAGCCATTATTTGACTTAACTCACACAGTGAAAGTCACCACCATACTTTATTGTTTCCAAAGGGAAATGGCAAAAGAGCGAATGAAATAAAGATCAAGGTACGTGGGTAGGTTATGCAAAGGGACGATATTAGAACCCTAAACATCTTTGGTACTCCGCATGATCCACTTTATTTATTCTATTCTAGGAATATGTTATCTAAAGCTCAAACTTGCTAAAGGGAATGGATGAATTATTAAAGAAACAAAAATAAAGTTTTTTATTATTGTGCACGCCTTTGGTCATGAGACCTAACACGTACTTACTCCCTCGTGCAATGGAAAAGTTAGAGCATCGTAGTTCTTTCAGAAAATAAAAAAACTTGGTATGATGATTGATTTTAAATGAAGAGACAAGTCGTCATTTTTAGAGAGAAGACTCGCCTAATCACCCACAAAGTATGTAAAAAGTGGGATAACTCACCAACATGAGGGAGGGTTTGGTGACATCTCTAGTACTCAAGTCAAAATGTCAGCATCTTTACAACCATGGGGATATGAGAATGACATCTCAATTATAAATAAATCATGTCTAATCTTGAAAAATATTTTAAATGAGAAAATGTGCATGAGGGCACAAAAAGGTTTGAATGAGATTGAATATTTGTTAGGAGAATACATTAGATGGTCCCTCAGAAGGTGGGGGTATCTAAGTACTTCTTTATTTTTCAAAGTGTTTCAGTAATGTTAGATGTTTTTGACATTTGATTAAATAAAAGAAGTTTGAAAAATAGGTACTTGACAAAGTCAAGGTTCATTATGAAAGTGGTCATGTTTAGTGGAAGCAAGAATAATTTGAAAAAAGATGAGAAGATTTTGAAAAATTGAAGAATGAGAGGAGATGAAGAGATTATCCTAAAGCACAAAGCAAAAGCTAAGGTAAGGAAAATATAACCAAAAGGAATCCAACAGTTGGTATAATAAAGTCAACAAAATTCTCATCCTTTGGATTAAATCCATAAGCAAAGAATAAATCAAGAGTAATACCAAGCAGCAGGTGAGAATAAATCACAACAGAATGCGCGTCAAATAAACTCAAGGTATCAGATAAGTGCAGTGTGTCATATAAAGCTCAAAGCATCAGATAAGAACTCCAAGTATCAAATAAGAATTCCTGCATCACATAAAACAAACAGACAAAACCAACAACACATAGAAATTCTGAAGGGTCTCAACTACATGGTCTGAATGATTCTAAGAGTATCAGATAAAAAATCCCAGAGTAAACCACGAGACCGAAATGAACCGAACCGAGAACAACCAAGTTAGCACCAATTTAAGAAATCTTAGAATAAATTCATGTAGGAATCAACTCTACGAGAGGGTGGTCAAAAATATATGCATCCATTTGCATTTAAAAGTTAAATTGATTTTAAAATCCAAAATCGTAACACAATAAAATAACAACACCACTATACAACATTATTATCTTCATGTACAAAACCAAAGTAAAAAGGAAATAAAAGAGGTTTAAATAAACATATGGGTTGTAAGATTAGTAATTTGGGCCAAGGAAAAGTGAATTTAAAGCCCATTCAAAAAACCATTATTGTGACATGTCTCCTAGTTAATCAAAACAAAATGTAACAAAAAGAAATAATTATTAATCTTGCCAAACTTTATTCTATTATTAAAATAAGATTGAAAAAAAATTAACAAAATAGAGGAAAATCGAAAAACCCAACCAAATCAACAATAACTTCTCTTAAAATCGAAAAACCCAATAACATCTTGACATATGGTGGAATTAATAATTAACAAACTCTTAACCTCATCAATATCAATCTTGACACAAAAAAATGAATAAAACAATGGAGTTTCTAACTCACAAAATGGTGATGATGTAATAGTGAATCAGAGGGAGTATGTCGTGTGAAGAGGTATTGTGCTTGCAGAATTTAGAGATTTTGTTGAGAATAGAAGGGTGTTTGCAGATATGGAAGGGTGTTGCAGGTTACAGACTGTGGTATGGGACGAACGAATGAGGATTGAAGGGATGAAGGGAATTTCTTTGAATGTGGTTCGGTTGGAGGGAGGATGTATCAGGATGGGTAGTACGGTGATGGTGTTGTTCGAATGGTAGGCGGATGAGAGGAAGACGAAGGGTGCTGCTACAATGGTAGAGGTTGTTACGGTGATGGTGAATGTGGTGTCTGCAGAGATAAAAATGAAACATGAATGAAGGTGGATGTTTCTGGTTTTTGTTTAATATGATACTCAAAGTTGCCTCTGAGTTTTTGTTCTCGTTCAATTTGCCTCTCCTAATTTCAATTTTTATGCACAGTTAAATACATACAAACTTAGGTTTAGCTAATTAATTAAATGACTAAAAAGCCCTACCAAGCCAAAAACGTAGAAGAATAAAAATTAACATACTCAAATATATATATTTTAAATTATTTTAAATAAAAAAGAGAATCAGCACAATTGTTTCCTTCTCTAAAGATGTGTGAAACAACAAAAGACATGTTTAAAGTGATATTTACATAATTAATCCACCTATTTCGGATGCACTAAGGAACCAAAGAATGACGTTTGAAAGCGTGAACAACTGCTACCGAGTCACGTTCCAGGCAAAGCTTGTGTCAACCCTTCTCATTGGCGAACTCAATTGCTGACATAACACCTGAGAGTTCAACAATCAGAGAAGTAGAGGGGCCTAAAAAAGAAGCAAAGACACCAAGGAAACGTTTATCCGAATCTCTGGCAATCTCACCACATGCTGAGGGACCAGGATTACCCGAAGACGCACCATCACAATTGAATTTTATCCAGCTAAATATAGGAGGCTTCCAAATTTCTTCAATAATTTTAGAGTTGTTCGGGGGCCGAATATCAACCTTGAACGACTTAAGAAACAGAAATCCCGAATATTAACCATGGAGGATGCAACAGAATTTGAGCCGGCCAAAGAAACCGCAAACTCAATGAAAGAGATAGAGTAGGAAATCAGAAGGAATCATTCTTGAAATCTTATCTTATTACGAGAGATCTAGATTGCATTTAAAATATAGATGAAGGCAACATTAAAAGCCACCCTACATCTATCCGACCAACTTCTGGAGCAAAGGCTCAAAAAATCCTCCCAACCAAGAATTTGACAGTGAAGTTGTAACTTGGAAATAGACCACTTCCAAATCTTCGAAGCATAAATACAATCAAAGAAAAGGTGGGAAGAATTTTCTTCAAATTTCTTACAAAGTCTACACTGAGAAGGTGGATTTTGCGATAGAATATTCTTCGACCAAAGCCACCGCATCCAATCAGAGCCACTTCCGAGGTTTCTCTTGAAATTATAGGCTGTTCTAAGAGTAAGAATACCCGAAGGGGAATGCTTCCAAACCCATTGATTCAGACGGGATTCAAATGGTAATTAACAAGAGCTAATTCTGGTGTGAAGAGTAACCGAAACCTCGTTACCAGCTTGAGAGAAATCCCAATTTTGATTGACAATGAATTTGCTAGCCGTGATGGACGTATCCCCCAAACAGCCCTCCGAAACTAAAATAGACAGATCCTCGTACCAGGAATCCAACCAAAAGTTAATATTATTGACGTCTCCCAAATCCACACCGAATTATCTTTAATAGTTTGAATTTCACTCTGCAAAGAAGATCAAATAGAGGAAATAATATAATGTGCTATGAAACAAATATTCCTGATAACACGATTCCTGAGCAGCACCACCCAAGTCTCAACAAAATTTAGAAACTCCCACCCAAGCATACAATTAGTGGCTTCATTCAGTGTGAACAGAGAACGAATACCAAAACCACCCTCCGAGTATGGTTTACATAAATTATTCCAAGAAACTGTATCCTTCTTCTTCGTAGAGATATTCCCATTTCATATAAAATTCCTAGCAGCTTTCTCCAACTTTCTAATCAAAGAAATCAGCCACGCATAAATGGACTTTGACAAGTTCCACTCTACCAAAAAAAGACAAGAGGGCACCCTTCAAGGAGGAAAGTTTATTAATAACGTCATCCGCAAGAGGTTGAAGGAAACTGGCTTTAGGCTTCCCTTTAAAAATGGGAACGCCAAGATAAAAAAAGGAGTAACACCAATGGTGAAACCTGTTAAAGAAGAAAGAATTCAGAGTCTAGAACCAGAAATAACACTCCCAAAAATAGAGCACTAAGCACAGTTCACGACCTGACCAGAAGCTAAGGTATACTTCGTAAAGACTGAAGAGAGCACCCAAATGTTAGAGGAAGTACCTTTACAAAAAATGATGATGTCGTCCATAAGAAGGGAGTGGGAGGGAACCAAGGCACGCTAGGGACAAGAAATTGGAGCAATCTTACCCAACGACACAAACTGGGAGATTTTACAGCTAAGAACGTCTTCCGTAAGACAAAAGAATTAAGGGGATAACGGGTCTCCCTTGGTCGACTCCTCTAGTGCATTTAAAGAAACCGTGAGAAGCTCTATTAACAAAGATGGATTAACGAGTATAACTGAGAATGATTTGAATCCACGTGTAGGATATGGATTGAATTTAAAGTTTTTCATAATTTCCAGAAGAAAAGACCAGCTAATCGCATCAAACGCCTTAGCGATGTACACCTTAAGCGTAATATTACCACACCAAACTTTAATATCCAGAAGATTTATAGCTTTCAAAGTAAGAGCAATGCAATTATGAATCTTCCTCCCTTGAATGAAGCCATGCTTTTTAGGGGAAACCAAAAGTGGCATAATAGAAGAAAGTCGTTCTGCAATAATTTTGGAAATAATTTTGAATTTGAAGTTGGATAATGTAATGGGATGAAATTGGACTTACAAATCAACATTATTAACCTTCGTAATGAGCACTAACACGTTGGAGTTGAAACCTAGGAGAATCCTTCCAGAAGTGAAGAATTGTAGAACAACCATAGAAATATCATGCTTGATTATGTCCTAATATGAGTGAAAGAAAACCCCACCAAAACCATCAGGCCCAAGCGCACTATACTTGCTAAGGGCAAAAATAACCGCAATAATCTCTTCCATAGAAGGCAGTAAGCAAGGTGTTCATTCTATCATCTACCAAAGTTGGAATGGAATCTTCAATCATGGAAACATCCCTCAAAACAGAAATGTTAGCCGCAAAAATGTTTTCAAAATAGTTCACAGTGGTTCGAGCAATCAAGGCGGATTGGTGATAGTAAAAACAAGAAAGAGATAAGATGAAGAGGGATGGAGATGTATCAGATGAAATCAGGGTTTCAAATATCACCAACACCATTCATCCATTTTGGTGGATTTGGTTTTCAAGCCTAGCAACATCCAAGATCCAATGAGGTTGAGGAACTTGGCCCAAAATAACATCCAAGTGTCTCCAAATCAGAACCAATCAAAAAACAATATAATATATTTAATATAAAACAAAATTCAAATGATTTAAAAAGAAATAATTGCTAAAATACATAACATGTATTAAAATACCAAACAAAAATTCTAAAAAAATATCAGAAGTCAAACATGAGTCAATAAGTGTTGACAAAAATTTTCATAATTTTTTAAAGTCGGAAAATATATTTAAAATTTAAAGAAATAAGCATAATAAACCAAAATTTGTGAAAAATAGTAAAATCAAAAATAAAAATAAAAAGAGGTCACCAATATTAGTCAAGAGGTCATTGGATCCTTTCATATTTTTTCCGGAATTTAAAAATCAAGAAAAGTATTTTAAAATAATTAAAACAAGTCAAATAAAGAGAAAAAATCATAAAAAATACCAAATCATAAAATAAAATAGTGAAAAAATGAAAATCAGAAAGAGAAAATTTAAAAGTATTTTTGAGAATTGTTTCACAATTTTAGAAGTTAAAATGAATTTTTTATGAATTTTTGAAGTTTAAAACATTTAAATCAAAAAAATCTAAAAATAAAATAAATAAATAAATAATGTGGTGTGTTGGATGGATCTGACTAATGGAGAGTAATCACATCCATGGGTTAACATGTCAGCGGACAGTGGAGTTTTTTGGATTTAGTACATCCAATCAATTATTAAAACAAAAGAAAATCGTAAATAACTTGATACATTGTATTCCTTTCATTAATTGACGTGGCCAATCTAACTATCCATACATAATTCTTTTAAATTCAAACATACAGTGGAAAGGGATGTGTCACGATTCTATTGGTTGAAGGATGACGAAGCATCATCTTCAACCTCCAGATTTTTGTAGAAATCGTGATTTAACAAACTATAAAATTAGGCTTGCACAACTGTATCATTGTATTCATCTCTTCAAGATGAATTCAACCATGTCCTCGCGCCAAATTTATATTAACTGTAGCTTAGTTGATTTAAGGAAAACTATAGAAATTTGAAAACCTAAAAAGCTCAAAACAGATGCATCAAATTCATCGATTGTTCAAAATTAGGCTAACAGCAAGCATTAGTGAACAACATAGATCATTCCAGTAATTTGAGTTAGAATATTTGATGTCTTGAACTACCTGAACAAAGTATAAAGAAATTGCTCTGAAACTTGACTTGGCTAGCGCGATTTAAAGCACTTCAAGGCTTTGTTATTATACTATTAGCTTCAGTGAAGTTCAAGGAAGAAGAATCAATAAAGAAATTGGAGCTGGATGTGCTATAAGTAGGAATTCAAAGTTGCAGAAATGGAGCTTTGCAAGTGAGTTTGGCAGGACTTCTTTGGCTCTTCAGGCTTGAGGAAATGATGTAGAGAGGGTCTATATTTATAGGAGGATTGAATAGTGATGAGAGTGAGGAGAAATTATGAGGGAATCATGCACATCAAGTTGATCTGGTGGTGTGTGGAAAGTGTGACTTACACATGACCAAAACACACTCAAATTTTGCGTTTTATGCACTAAACACAATATGGAATCTCATTAGAAATGATTAGTGAACGGATTATGTGCAAAGCTTGCTTAATTTGTTAATTAGCAAGTTCAAAAATCTGACTTTCGAGCAAAAATATCAATCTATGGTGCCAACTTCCACAATATATAGCTCACTACTTAGATACCTTTTTGGATTCATTCTTTTTTCATTTGGAAGATGAGGTCACAAACTTTACAATGTGACAAGAAAGGTATCATTTGGAGATCTGAGCAAAAATTTATATCACTTTGAAATCATGAAAAAATATGACTTTGGTATTGATATCTGAAGATGACATGAAGTAAACCTCTTTAATTGATTTTTGGAATTTAGATCACTCAAAAATCATAAAAATTGAAAGAGTTATGATCTTTGGAAGATGATGAACAAATTCGGGAAAATTCAAAAAAGACCTATAATCTTTTCAATTCTTCAACAATTTTCCAAGTATTTTGAAGTCTTGCACATTGAAACAAAGTTGTAGTAGACATCCCAAAGATTATTATGGAAAAATAATGGGCTCAAGGAGATAAAAATTTACCAAGTTATGATCATTTGAACTCAAACCCTAAGATTCAAAGGCTTTTCAAAGAGACTTGTAATATTTCTCAACAATTAATGATCTTCCATTCAAAATAAGCATTAAATACCTACAGAGAACTTGTTAAGGACCCTTTTAAGAGAATCATGGCTTTGGATTCAATCAAAATCTCAAAAAGTGAGCAAGATATGGTCATTGGAATTCAAGAAACCTTAGCTCAGAGAGTGTCAAAATGACTTGAAACCCCTTTCAACTTTTGATGATTTTTCTTGCACAATTGGATCTTTTCATGTGAAGATAAGTTGTTGTAGATGATGATAAGAACCCATAGAAAAAATAACCAACTCAAAAAGTTTAAAATTGAGAGAGTTATGCACTTGTGATCACTGAATCAATCACTTGCTCAATTAGTCTAAACTTATTGAATCAACCTTGAATTCTTTTGAATTTTCTTGGCAAAAAAAAGCATGATAAACCATAATAGGCCTTAAAATGATTTTGTCTTGAAGCAAACTCAAAGATGGAGCTTAAGTCTCAATAAAAAATGTTGAAGCAGGCATGGAAATAAACACATGAACCTATGAATCTTCTTGATGAATGCCACTATCATCTTTGAAGAAAGTTTGACCTAAATAAAGTGAGAGAACTATTCAACCACAAATCTTAGATATCATACACATGGACTTGAAACTTAATCTCTTGCAATCCATTTAAGAACCAGTTGTCTGAGGGCCAACCCTCAAACCCTAGGTTAGATAGTGAGATGAATGCAATTGTGTCATCACCTACAATATGAATATTAAAATAGACATATATATATATATATATATTTTGATGTTAGTTAAAAGTTAATCCATTTAAAAACACATGTACAAGATACACAATTCAAGGTGCTTGGTGATCTCTCAAGAGCAAACTTGAAGATATGATAAAGTAGAAAGAGAAAACCAACTCTAGTGTGTGTTCTTGACGTATAGATAAAATGAGATGATGAGAGATATTAGGGGGAAAATTGGGGTATAACAGTTCCTTATATTCATAACATGTTACTTCTTTTCTATTTTCCCCTTTTGAGAATGTTTCTAAACTATTTCCTTTATTTCTAAATCTTCTAGGGTTGTTTTTCCTTTCCTTCCATATTTTCTTGATTCTTATGGAAAGCAAAGATAGTTCATCCTCATCATCAGAGTCTTCGTCATCAGAACCTTATGTAACTTCTTAAGTTTGGAAAGCTTTATTCTTTATGGACCTAACTCTTTCTGATTTGGATTTTAAGCAATTTATTTTAGTCGTTTATGAGGTTAATCTCCTTCTAGTTTAATTTCGTGGCTTCTGAGGGAGCTAACTAATTCTTCGAGACTGATGGTGTCCAGATTCTTAGTGAGCTTAAGTGCTGTGACAATATGTCTCTATTTCTTTGGAAGACTTCTGACAATTTTCTTCACATGGTCTGCAATTGTGTAACCTTTGTTTAGAACCTTCAGTCCAGCTACATGAGTTTGAAATTTGGAAAACATAGTATCAATGTTTTTGTCATCTTCCATTTTGAATGCTTCGTACTTATGGGTTAGCGCTAGCGCTTTTGTTTCTTTGACTTGTGTATTTCCTTCATGAGTCATTTTGAGGGAAACAAAAATGTTTTTTTGCATTTTCTTTGTTTGTGATCTTCTAGTATTCATTATATGCAATGGCATGGAGAAAATTGTTCTGGATTTGTGGTGCTTCTTGAAACATTGTTTTTGATCTGCAATCATTTTGCTTCTTGGAACGGGAATACCTTTTGTTGAGACAGGTAGAGTGTAGCCTTATGTGATAAGATCTCAGAGATCCATATCATAGCCTTGGAAAAATCTTTCTAATCTATCTTTCTAGTAATCAAAATTTTCTCCATCAAAGATAAGAGGCTTAGCATTGTAACTATCTTTTTCCCACCCTGAATCTCTCTACACAAAGCCAATAACAAAGCCAAAGCTCTAATACCAAAGTGTTTGATTTGAAAATCAATAACAAAGCCAAAGCTCTAATACCAATTGAAGGTAGATAAAAACACAAGAAAAATGGGTATGAATTTGGTTTTTAAAATATTTTGTAAAACATTTTTAGCAACTCAGCATACAAATGAATAACAAGTACAATGAAAACTAAAAAGGAACACAATTACTTTTATACAAGTTCACCTTAAGAATAAGGTTACGTCTTTTCCACCCGCCAAGGTGATTTCACCTTTGAAAATGACTTAATCCACTAATCTTGAAAGATTACAAACAACCTCTAAGAGTCTAGAAAGACACCTTAACCCTCTCAAGTATA